TTTCCTAAATCTGTCTTCCTATCCTCTTCTTCCTATTTGAGCTTTTTATTTTAAACTTCATCATTGGAATTTACTAAAGAGCCAATTTAAATTATAAAATGAAGGCTAGACTGCACTAATTGTTAATATTACATATACTAGAGGCTCAGTGCATGACATTCATACAGGGAGAGGAGTTTCCTCAGCCCAGCCTGCACCCTTTCCAATTGGGGGATATTCCCTCTGCTCACCTTGCACCCTCTCCTATTGGGGGATCAGGCCGAAACCTGCAGTCGGACATCCCTCTCAAAATCTGGGACCACTGGCTAATAACTGCTCATCTGCCTACCAGCCTGATCACCCCTAACAGCTCTCTACTCCTGGCCTGATTGCCCCCAACTGCCCTCCTCTGCTGACCTGATTTCACCCCAATGGCCCTCCTATGCCAGCCCGATCTTACCCCAACTGCCCTCCTCTGCTGACCAATGTGGTTCTGATTGATTAGTTTCTATGCCAGTCAATATCAAAAGCTCCTCCTGCTTGATAGCCATTGGCTCCCCACAGCACCCAGATTTGGTTCTGATTGGTCAGTATCTATGCCAGTCGGCATCAGAAGCTCTATCTCCTAGGCAGCCATTGGTTCTTCACATCACCCAGATTTTGTTCTGATTGGTTGGTTCGTATGCCAATCAATGTTAAAAGCTCCACCTCCTAGACAGCCATTGGTTCTTCACAGCACGCATATTTGGTTCTGATTGGTCAGTTCCTATGCCAGTAAGCATCTCTGAGCCTATCAATGGGGCCAGATCAGAGCAGCAGGGCTTATCAGCAGCCCCGGTGGAGGCCTGGAGAGAAATGAAGACATGGCTGCTGGCTAGATTGGGAGAGAAAGACAGAGGCAAGTGCTGATCAAAAGCTGTCACAGAGGCAATGGATCAGTCCCTGCTTCTCTCCTCAGGCCTCTCTCTGATCCCGATTCTTAGACCCCCTCAGCAGTCAGTGCAACCCAGAGCTGACTGCAGGACTAACTTACGGTTGGTTGAGCCTCAGTTGTTACTGGTGATTACAACCCAGGGTTTTTATATATTAGGATGATAATAATAGTGAAGTAATTAGTCAGGACATTGCACAAGCTACATTAATTAGCTATATATAGAATATTTAAATTGAAAGTATAGAAAAATCTGCTTTATGCCACTGTAATCTTTTAGGCATTATATTAAACATAGCAGATATATTTATCCCACATCTCTTATTTGCATTTGCAAACATATGTGACTGTTAACTCTGTATTTTGAATTCTGAAGATTTCTTCAGCCTATTTCCTCACCTCCACGATTGCTCCAACTAATCAAAATATAAGTCCTCTAGCTAGTTTAGTATGGCAGGTCTATATTTAATGCAAACACTAAGATTTTTTTTTTTACTGATCTCTCTCTTAAGGAAGCACTTTATAATTTTTCTGTGTAAATTAAGCTTCTGTCCTAAAACATTACAAGTTTTATTTCTCAATTCATTTTTAAGCTCCTAGTCAACCCTCATTATGATTCATTCAAGAGGGAACAAACCAATCAAAAATTGTAGTATTGTTGGGAACAGGATAGTTCCTGTAGTTGTGAATATTTAGTAATTTCCTCCATCTATTTTTAAAACAATCTAAAAATGAATACAGTAGACTTTAATGTGTGCCCTGTTATACTCTCAGAATTCATTGTTTTAATAAACAAAGTATTACTGAATACCTTGTATGTACAAAAGCCCAAAGTTTACCGTTTGACAATTTTTAAATATATATTCTCTGATTATACAACTTCCTGATGATTCTTTTGATATACAAGGTAGGAGTTATAGTTAACCTGAACCAATTGTGTAATATTTATTTTTAACAATTAATTTCAAGTCAATTGTAGGAATTGGAGAGGAAATTAAAGACTGAGGAAGTACTGTATTTCCTAAACATCAAAAGGTGAAAGTTCAAAGAGTTGCTTTAAAAAAAATAAATGAAGCAAGACATTGTAAGGGAGAAAAAACATCATATAAAATGTATTTTTATAGTTATATAAAATAATATGAGCAGGTACATTTTCTAGATGTAATGCTGATTTACATAAATAAATGTTACCTCTTAATGTTTTTGCTATACTTAGTTTTTTTTTTTTTTCTTCCTTTCTTTAATTTTTCCCCTTAAGCGCTCACCCGGTTTTCCAATAGATTCTAAGACCTTCAAAGAGAGGGGTCAATTTTGTTGTCATTACTCTTTCTTCTAAAATAGTGGCAGTATGGCAAATAGGGACATACTATGGCAAATAGGGACATACTAATAGAACTTGAGTAAAATTCCATTTCCAATATATTCCAATATACCTAAATACTTGTCCTTGAGTTGTCTGTTTAACCTTAAAGAGTCTTAGTTTGATCATCTGCAAAACTGGGGTAATAAAATCTATCTTGTAGCATTGTTGTGAGGATTACAAATGATGTTTACAAAATCTTAATCAAGAATCAGGTACTCAAAATAATAGTTTTTACTATAATTATGGTTGTCTGCTACTTACCATACATAAAGCCTATTCATATACTAGATACTTAGAGAATCTCAAAATGATGATCTTACTTCCTTCCATATGAAAACATGTTAATGGAGTCATGGGATTATAGGCATACATTTTACTCATTTAATTTTTTTTTTTTAGTTTATTGATTTGAGAGAGAAATCTCTATTTGTTATTCCACTTATTTATGCATTCATTGGTTGATTCTTGTATGTGCCCTGATTGAACTAATGGGACTCTTAACCAACTGAACTGCCCAGCCAGGGCCTCTCCATAATTCTTATAAAAATAGTTTTATTGAGATATAATTCACACACCATAAAATTCACCTATTGAAAATGTGAAAGTCAATGGTGTTTAATACTTTTACAGTTAAGAGCAACAATTACTAAAGTCAATTTAGAACACTTCATCACTTTGGAAAAACCCCCTGTATCTTTTAGCTATCACTCCCTATAAACTCCCACCCAATCAGAGCTAAGAAACCACTAATCTATTTTCTGTCTCAATATATTTCCCTGTTTTGGACATTTAATATGTGGCCTTTTGGACTGACATTTTAAATTTTATTTTAGAGAGAAAGAGGAAGAGAGAGATAGAAACATTTCTTTGCTGTACCACTTATTTATGCAATTATTGATTGATTATATTATGTGCTCTGATCTAGAATGGAACCTGGAAACTTGGTGTATTGGAAGGATGCTCTAAACAACTGAGCTACCTGGTCCTGGCCAATTTCACTCATTTTTAAGAACTAAGAAGGATTTAGAGGTATTACTATTTATTTTTAAAATTTTAGTATAGTTTGTATACAATATTATATTGGTTATATTAGTTTCAGGTGCACAATATAATGATTTGATATTTTTATACCTTAAAGTGTGAGCATCCACTAATTCTAGTTATCTGTCACCCTGTAAATTTATCACAATATTATTGACTATTTCCCCCCCTCACCTTCTTTACCTATCACCCCACTCCTTCCTTTTTATTTTTGTTTTGTTTTGTTTGCTAATTTTAGATTCCACATGTAGGTGAATCCATGTAGTATCTGTCATTCTCTGTCTGATTTATTATCATTTTTTATAACACATTCACTTATGAAATGTTAACTTAAACAGAAGCCTGAAGGAGTAAATAAAATAGAAAGTAAACAAATAAATAAACCCCAAATTTTCCATTTCTCACTTTGTAGTTTTTGTTTTTTTAACCAGAAACTAAGGACAATTATGCTTGTATTTTATATTTAGTACCCTTTTAATTTAAACATGAAACAAGACACATTTTAATTCTATTCAACAAAATGCAATAAAATATCAAGTTGTCAGACTTGAAATTAAATATAGGATCTCATTGTATTTGTTATTTTCGGAAGAACATTCTTTCTGTAAAGTTACTACTTTAAAAATAATTGCAAGCTCTTGTTTTATAATTAACTGTTATATTTCCTATAGAGTCTTCCAACTTCCAGTTTGAGCATGATTATATATGATCTGTTTCAGTAACATAAAACTTTGATTCTTGCATCATTTCCTATAGGCATCAAAACATATATGTGTGTGATTTGGCAAGTTTTAAGTGGATTGGTTTTATTTTCTACCAATCATCTTTTAATTACAAAAGCCTTGCCTCATTGTTTTGGTAACACGGGGCTACTAAAATTCGAGTGCAAAAAGGTAGGACTATAGAAAAATTGGTTCTAAGAAGGGTTTATGATAGATATGTTGGTTTCAGAAACTGTTCCCTATTCTCTTTGATAAAATTCTGACATAAAACCATTTCTTTAGTCCAGGTTTGAATTTCTGATCTTGCTATCATTTCATAAAGGTTCTTTAACTTATCTTTGAGTATATAGCAAGAAATTGACAGCAAAGAGTTAGGGACCAATCTTCTATTTCTTTCAGAAAACAAATTTGGAGTAACTCAACCCTTTTATAATACACTTTAAACAAGTTTTCCCTGACAATGTCTTATATTGCAAAGTGAGTACTTAAATTAAAAAAAATTTCTGCCGCCCTAACTGGTTTGGCTCAGTGGATAGAGTGTCGGCCTGTGGACTGAGGGGTCCCGAGTTCGATTCCAGTCAAGGGTATGTACCTTGGTTGCAGGCACATCCTCTGTGGGAGGTGTGCAAGAGGCAGCTGATCGATGTTTCTATCCCATTGATGTTTCTAACTCTATGTCCCTCTCCCTTTCTCTCTGTAAAAGATCAATAAAATATATTTAAAACAATTTCTGCAGTCAAAGTTTCTATTAAGAATTTAGCCAACACTAATTATAGGGTTTTATCCCATAACGTAAGAAAATAAAGTTATAAAATTACATAAAGTACTCTAATTATGAAAATTAGTTTTAGATGCATACATTTAAATAGGACTTTAATACTACCCTCATAATTTGGAGGGTGTTGCAAATATATCTGTTTTTTTTAAATTATACTTCCTAAATTAATTAATTTATTTCTGTTACCTTTCATAGCATCCATGCCTCCCACGGCATAAAGTGCCCCCACAGTTGATTTTCTAGGCTTTGTCCGAGGGCTTTGCATCATAGGTCTTCTTTCAGGTAAGAGATGATACTTCATAGCTTCTATCAGAAGTTTCTGACATTCAAGGTCACCATTAAGTATGGAACTATTTTCAAGATCTGCCAGTAACTGAAAAGTAATGATACATGGTATATGAGGTGAAGAGGCCACCATTAGAAAGGACATATTTTTGTTTATATAACTTTGGAGAAAACTGAAGCTAAATCAAATGTTATTATTATTTAACATTTTAACTTATTTAGTAACATATTTTATGTTCACTTATTTAAAGTGATTTAAAGCCTCATGGTATTAGCTAATAATCAATAAAGATTTATTTGACATATTCATCTTTTAAGTATATATATGCATATAATCTCGAGTGAAAGAGCCCTCATAAAATATGTTATTGAAAAGCAATCAAAGAGTAAGGGTTTTTATGCACAAAGCAAGCATCTCTCAGTCTATGGCATGTAGCTAGAGAAGCAGTCATGTTTTTGGTGGATTTAGGAGAGGTGGTACAAACATGCTCAGTTAAAATAAAATAATATTATCCATAGGAGGTTGCATCTTTATCATTAAATCACTTTTGTAAAGTATTCTGGAAGTAGGTCTTTAAAAAATTATTTACATTTATATGTATAACATCAATAAGGTACTTGTATTAGTAATGTCAACAGCTAATATATTAGCACTATTAAGTGAGTAATATTTCTAAACATTACTCCCTGGCAGTCAATAGAACACTTATTGAATGGGATAAGAGCTAAGTAAATTATTTTTGTTGAAATGAGTTGAGAAGTTAAGCTTTGTTTCAGAATTTTGCCAAGGGTTATTTAGATTAATTTCTTTGCGTTTTGGGTCCACAGTGTCATAGGGAGGAATAACAAGCAGATTGTTGGAGTGGAAGTGTTAACCTCAATCCATAAAACGTCACAGAAGTTTCCTGTTCTGAACTGGTTAACCCTAGCTCTGTTCTTGCTCCACCTGTCATCTCTGATGGATCCCTGTTTTGACTTAGCGAGTGAGATCCCAGGCATTTCCTCAATTCATACACTTCTGAAAATAGGTTGCAAACTGGGCTATATAGTTGTTGATTTTTTCAAAAATATTCTTTGGAGATTTATGGACATTTATAAATATATTTAATTTTTAGGGTACTTGTTTAAGGACACTTTTAAACTTGCTTTGGAAGTTTATATTCTGTATGTTATTGCCCACCACTACCACCATCAGGAAATGTTTTCAATGTCCACATTTTAGGCATAAGGCCCACTCTGGGGCGGGAGGCCAAGGCACCGCTGGTTTTGTGTTTGGGCTGGAAATTTCCATAAAGTAAGAGAAGTTCAAACTAAGCATCTTTCTGAAAGAATATCATATAGGCTTACAGCATTGTACAGTTAAAGGGTTCTGGTCCTTTATACCAGTGCATCTTAAATTTTTTCATGTTTTAAAATCATATGGAGAGCATATTAAAACAGATTCCTTGGAATCAACCCCCAGAAATGATTTTGGTAGGCCTGTTGTAGTGGACCTGAGCTACTGAGTTTCTGACAAGCTCCCAGACAAGGCTATGTTTCTGGTTCAGGGACATTTTGAGCAGTACTGCTTTAGAGAATATCATAAGTCAAATAGACCATATCATGAGAATAACACACACACGTTACATACATTCACAAGAACACATAATTTCTATAGTTTCTGAACCTTGAGTCTAACATGACATATATATTTTAATGTTTCTCTTCTTGATGTTACTATTGCCTTGCCCTTTGGATAATGTTGCTATACCCAAGAGGGTAGTCAATGTTCTTTCATTAAATATAGACAGATTCTTAATAATAAATATGTAGTTCCATGGTATTTAATTAACAACTATAAGTTAACAAGCTAGAGAAACCATAAGTTCAATATTGACATTTAATTAGTAATTTTTTTGAAAATAAATTACTTTTAATGTTTATGAAACTACTGCCTCATTTAGTACAGATAAGGTCCCTCCTTTCAAAGTGTATGATATTTGAAAACTTTCGTCACAGTCTATACAGTATATGAAGTGTATATATGTGCAACATAATTAATGAATATATAGTATGTAAATGATACATACTATTGGCCAGTTTGCTACACAGAAATAATTGTGGTTATCACCAATGGTGGAATTATATAGAGAGACCTGCACTCTAACATCATTAGATTTTACATACTAAAATTCAGTATAAGGTGGGTCAAACCTGAATCTTATTCAAGGGTGTTTGTTTTTAGAATAATTTCTACTGTAATTTCTACATCTCCACATGAGCCTTCAGCATGCATGTGGAGATGTCATTATTATAATTTTGTTTTAGTGCATCTGATCCTACTATATAGTACTCTTTTGATCCTTGTAGCTAATTATCCATGTTAGTAGAATCTAATTCCTTTCTACAGTCCCCTCTGGTATGATCTTGTACTGATTATTATCACCTTGCCTGGAAGGTAAGCATGGAAAGAAAAAGTTAGCCTAGTCATTTTTCCTGCTTGTTATAAGTTCTGTTTAGTGAGAGGAAATTGAAACTGATGAGGATGCTCATTAGATAATGTGGATTATCTATAGTTTTTAAAAATCTTTGTTTCCTCTCTCTTCAACATTAATATTGATTGAAGACTGGGCATGTCCTTCTGCCAAACAAATCCTGTACTTTCCAATTAACCAAATTCCTCTGAATATAATAAAAGGGACAAATCAGGAATGGATTAATGCCAAGTGGTAGTTTAAACTATAATATAATTATATTACTGGTAAATGTTCATACATGTGGTGGAAGTAATGGCAGTCTGATGTAATAAAGCAGCCTGGATAGTTCTTGTTGCCTACTCTGCACATCATGCCCCACCCAGTCCATCAGAGCATGGAAAATGGTTTCTTCATCGGGCACGTTAATATCATCACTGCACAGAAGTTTGGAGATTTCATTAGCTGGAAGCAGGAGGAATTCTTGGTTCTTTATCACATCGATGAAGTGTTCCTAGAAAAGAGAGGTCATGTTCTTTAGAAACTTTAAAAAAATATATATTTAAAATTTTTTGATTTCAGAGAGGAAGACAGAGGGAGAGACAGAAACATTAATGATGAGAAAGAATCATTGGTCAGCTGTGTCCTGCATGCCCCCTACTGGGGATTGAGCCTGCAACTTGGGCATGTGCCCTTTGCTGGAATAGAACCTGGGATCCATGAACAAAACCAGCTAGGGCTCTTTAGAAACTTAACAAAATAAGCATATCAAAGAATTTCACTTTGAGAAACTTCACAAAAAGAAAGGGTACTGAGAGAGGGAGAGGGAGAGAGAAGCAAATGCTTCTACTTGAAATTATTTAAGAACCCAGGAATGGCCCTAAGCACTTCAGAGCTCATATGGATAGTGCCCAAGTTAATAAGAGTGCTTTTATCTTTCAGCTTTTGTAGGTCACAACAGCTTATAACTCCAGAGATGACTGGCCTGTTGGTCTTTAGCTGGAAGAATCTGTTTTAATAAGTTCTCCATATGATTTAAAAAAACATTAAGAGAAAGGCTGAACATTTTCAAGCTGGAGGCATTTTTGGATGCTTGGGAGAAGTAGGTCTGGCTGTCAACACAGAAAACAACACACTGAATTTCTTTGAGATGAAACAAAAGATTGATGAAAAACATTTTCTACTATGGAAAAACATTGTCATATATTTACCAAGGCAAAGGTATCTTTTAGAATGGATAACAATCTGCAGTTCCCCAAAAATATAAAAGGGTCTCCCATGTTTGTTTGTTTTTGATGGGGTGGGTTATCTTTCAATTTTTATATATTATACCTTAATGTTCTCTTCTGTCAGTGTGTTGTCTTATATTTTGTCAAGCATCAAATTTTAGGCAGCTGTGTTTCAATTTTCTTTTATTGAAACACCACTATATATTTTTGATGATTCATAATGTTATATATTTTTATTTGACAGCATAAAGATTGTTTCCAACATTTTATAGTAAAGATCTCAATTTTTAAATGCAATGAAAAATGCTTCTGAAATGAAGATAAACATGTCTAGTTGGTAATTTACATTTTACAATAAATAGATACTATTCTGGAAGCAGTTTAAGAGAGCTTATGAGTAGCTGGGGGAACTGGATAAATCATATCACTTCCTCAGCTCCACTCTGAGTTTAATCATTGTGGAACTGAGTTAGTCTAATAGCAAACTTATCCATACAACAACCATCATGTTTGACAGACCCATCAAGAAGCTCTGATACCATAAATGCAAGTTAACTTGTCTATTTAGACAAACTTCCCTCTTGTGACTAAGGCAAACAATTCAGAGACTCGGGTCCTTATATGTAGCTGATGACCCTGTCTGAAAAGTCTTTAACCTGTAGCAAAATAATTGAGCTAGTTCTACAACTAATACATTACACATGTATAACACTTCAAACTTAATGGATTTCTTTAAAAAATATGGTCATTACCAATGTGGTCTTGTGGGGAGTGGAATTATTCAGATAGAAAACAGGCTGTGTGAATTGTTTGGTCTTCTGTGCAGTAAATGTCAAAGTATAGGCATATCTTGGAGATATTGCAGGTTCAATTACAGACCACCAGAAAGAACTTAATATCACAATAAAGTGAGTTATAAAAACCTTTTGGTTTCCCAGTGCATATAAAAGTTATATTAAACCACACTGTAGTCTATTAAGTATGCAATAGCATTATGTCTATAAAAACAATGAATATACCTTAATTAAAAACACTTCATTGCTAAAAGATGCTAACCATCATCTGGGCCTTCTTTGAGAAATAATACGTTTGCTGGTACAGGGTCTTGCCTTGATGTTGAAGGCTTCTGAATGATCAGGCTGGTAACTGCTAAAGGCTAAGTGGTTACCAAAATTCTTTAAAATAAGAAAACACTGAAGTTTAATGCATTAATTGACTTCTTTTTACAAATGGTTTTTCTGTAGCGTGCAATACTATTTGATAGCAGTTTACTCACAGACCTTCCTTCAAAATTACAATCATTTCTCTCAATCCCTGCTGCTGCTTCATCTACTAAGTTTATGTACTATTCTAAATCATTTGTTGTCACTTTAACATTCTTCAGTCTTCACAGAATCTTCACCAGGAGTAAATTCCATCTCACAAAACCACTTTATTTTTCCTCACTCATAAGAAGCAATTCCTCATTCATTAAAGTCTTGTCATAAGACTGCAGCACTGCAGTCACATCTTCAGGCTCCACTTCTAATTCTAGTTCTCTTGCTTTTTCACCACTTCCCCAGCTACTTCCTCCAATGAAGTCTTGAACCCCTCAAAGTTATTCAATGAGAGTTGGAATCAACTTCTTCCAAACACTTAATTTTATAATTTGACTTCTTCCCATGAATTTGCTCATTGTGTAAAACCCACTCAATGGTTAATGGGGTCATATTCAGTCAATAAAATTTAATTATGCCTCTGAGAAAGTTAAGTAATCATTAAAATGGTTTATATGATGGTCATATTTAAATATATCTGGAAATTAGATTTTTTGTTAGAATTTGTTATGGCTTCTGAGTGGCTGCCTGATGTGATTACTGAAAATAGCCTAGTGATATAGGTAATTAGTATAAATAAACATAAATTTACTGGTTTGAATTACCTAGATGTAGCATTGGAATATACAGTACTATAGCGAAAATATAGTTAAGCTTAAATATTAATTTTATATTGTTTTATTTTGGAATTATTTGCTCCTAATTTCAAGGTAAAACTTTTCTTTTGTGCTCATTCTTAAAAATATTTTTGTACCTTTGGTTTGATATTCATTTTTTATATCTACATTTACATTGTAAAACTTATTAAATAAATTTAGCATACTTGCTGAATGTTTCATCAATGTAGATTACTGTTTATATGATTATGGTGGTTAATTTTATGCATCAATTTGATTGAACCAGGGAATGTCTAGACTTTTGGCTAAACATTCTGGATGTGTCTATGATGGTGTTTCTGGGTTGGGCCCATACACATTAGGGAGATTAATCTGTTTTACGTAGTCTGTGATCAAACAATTGTAATCAAATTGTTAAAATCATTTGTGTTTTTATACTATTAATACAGCATTATAAAAACATTAATATAACAAGAGCTTTACCTATTTTATTCCACTAATAATATATACTAAAATAGCTAAAGAAGAGGAATTAAAGAAGACAATAATATTGTTTTTATGCACATCCTGCTTTAAAAATCACATAATAGGAAAAGGAAGAGAAGTTGGTTTTGAGCAACAAAAATAATTCAAGCTGTTTATCGGCATGTGTTTTGTCTGCAAAAGTAAGATACCAGTCAGGAAGCTGCTAATACTTAATTCAAAAATTTAAGTAATTTAACAGGAAGTTTTCCATGTTTGGTTTTTAAGGTAGGATTAACCTTTAAACTACATAATTGCTGTTCTTATAAATTATATTGTCTCTATATCTGGGATATAGTAATATAAATATCATAACTAAATGACATATGTTAAAACACCAATCCATTATAATATAATTATCCACATAATGCTTCAGGAATATGTTTGAAACTTCATATTTTCAAAATTGACCAGAGATGGAAAGATGAGGGGAAAATTTTTACAATAATTTTTAGAGGATTAAAATATTAGAACTTGGACATTTTAAAACTGTAGAAAATAATTTTTATTTATATACATCTTAATCCTCTCAATCCTAAATTTTAATATTAATGTTAATTTTTTCTTATTCTTAGGAATAATTTTCTCTACTGTTCACTTTCATGTCTTTTAATATTGAGTCTTTGAGTGTGTGTTTTTTTTTTACTGTAGCAATTTTCTTAGCCTGAAATATTTATCTTTTGATTGTCACAGAAAGATCTCTTCTGTTGTTTCCTGCTTCAGAGGTTAAAAAGTTGATTTTCTTCTTTACATTAGGCAATTTGTATCCTGATAATGGTAAAAGTATGTTTACCATATGTCTGCTGTTCTTTTGCCTCGCTGACAGATGAATCTTTCATGTCACAGTCACTTGTCTGAATAAACATAGTCTTATGCCATGCAGCTTTCAAAGAATTAGCATATAAGAATGTGTTTATTCAATTTATTATGATTAGTAATAGAATTGAGAGGTGGTTTAAACTAATTAAGTTAAGGAATTGGACCACAAATTGCTTTTAACCAAAATATGTTTTCATTAAGACAAAAAATCCATACAATAGAATTGTCTGAGTTATTAATTTTCTAGTTCTTAAGCACTTTAATTTGTTTTAATCTATTAATTTTTATTTATTGAATATTTTCATTATAAATCATAATTTGCACAAAGTTAAAAATTAAAGTTCTAACAGTGCAAAATATTTGGAAAATTATGTTTTCTTAATAATGTGGATTTGAATTGAAATATGCTTGTAGAATTTAATTTGGGGCAATATTTTCATTTCTTCAGGCTTTGATATTTCAATAAACCTTTTTTAGTTTCAAAAATGAGAAACTTGATTGAGTACAACTCAACCAGACACATATTTTAATCTAATGTCTATTATTTGAAAGTCAGGGTTAGCGAGGGACGGCCAAAGGACTGAACAAGCAGGCTGTATGGGGCAACCAGACCAGCAAGGGGGGCAGTTGAGGGTAACCAGGCTGGCAGGAGTCAGTAAGGGATGTCCAGGCCAGTGGGGAGAGGGGGTAATGTAGGAACAACCAGGCCAGCAGGGATGGGACAGTTGGGGGCAGCTGGCTGGCAAAGGGGGGCAGTTAGGGGTGACCAGGCAGACAGGCAGGTGAGTGATTAGGAGCCAGTGGTCCTGGATTAGAAAGGGTGCAGGTTGGGCTGAGGGGGACCCCCCCACACACACACACACACACACCATGCATAGATTTTGTGCACTGGGCCTCTAGTGTATATATATTTATGTACACATATACATAAACATATCAGCAAAAACAATCAGTAACTTAGATACTGTGTTAATACATTACTATAAATTAATTTGAATCAGTTGATTTTACCATTGTGTATTTATGTGCCACAGTCAGGAGCTCTGTACAACCCTGGGCATCTCCAAAGGACCGAATCCCTAAGCAGTTTGAAGGATGGAGCTGCTTTATGAGAAAATTGGAGCAGACATCAATAACTTGAGTCAGTTGCAGGAGACAAGCTGCAGCCAGCAAACTTTCGATAGTATCTTCTTTCAGTTGCAGGACACCTAGATGGTTTGAAAAAGTAAAGAATGATTACGTGTCTCATAAAGTAGGACACAAATAAGCTAGTTAGTTGAAATTTTCACTTTCTCTCATTAGTGAGATTATATTTTCAAGAGTACAGTAACCACCATCTCAAGCCAACATATACTAGTACAAGAGAATTTGTATAAACGCTAATAAGATGGCTGACGGAGGCCGGACTAAATTATCCAAAAACACTGTAGCAAATGAACATTGAATACTATCATTGCAAAGAAGAGCAACTTATTTCTTTATCTTAGTCTTGCAACTAAATCTTAAATAAAAAACGGTTCATATTATGACCTAAGTAACATAATGCAATCTTGTATAAGGGTAATACAATTGGCCAAACAGATATCAGTCATTTGTGTGGAAAAAATCTTGGTTCATAAGAACATTGAGCTTATGTGCCATTTTTTTAATCTGTATTTATAAGCGAAGAAGGATAACTTGGCCCAAATATTAAGTCTGAAATTGATACTTGATACTGTCTTAAAAAAAGAAAAAAAAGAAAATGTTGCCAACAGTCCTTAAAATAAGAATTGCTTATATTATAAATTAAACTGTTTTATTTATATTGGTATATCTATTATTTTGAAGCAAATATTATATGAATTATTTTAAATGTTATGTTATTTTGATAAGTTAAATCGACATTTTTTTTTGTTTAAACCAAGCTATTGGTAAGTTATAAATAATGATATTTCATATGAATTTTATAAACTGTATAAACTGGCCTTGTAAAATACCTTAATATTGTTTCTATATGTTGCAAAACTATAAAGAATAATACATACTGTGAGATGCTTTATATTTGGTTTACCCTCTAAAATATATTATAAAGGGGTCCAGTCCAACAGTAGACTTTCTTGTGTTGTTTCTTGTCCTGGATTTTGAAGGAAGAGCCCTGCCTATATTTCATGAGACCCAGAGAAGTATTAACTATTCTCAGTTTCAGACCTAAAGATTCACCTGCTATAGACATTGAAATCTGGCCTGGATATTAGGATATTGATTTCTAAATAAGCGAAACTCTTAGGAGAAAGCATAACAAAAAAGCTCCTTGACAGTGGTTTTGACAATAATTTATTAGATAAGACACCAAAGCATAAGCAAGAAAAGCTAAAATAAACAAGAGGAACTACATAGCAAAGAAAACAAAAATAAACTGAAAAAACAACTGATAGAATGAGGTAAACTATTTGCAAAACATACATGAGAAGGGGTTACTGTCCAAAATATGTAAAGGATTTATACATTTCTATAACACAAAGTCAATCCAATTAAAAATGGGCAAAAGGAATGTATTGACATTTTTTTTTAAAGAAGATATACACCTTGCCAATAGGAACATGAAAAAGTGCTGGACATCACTATCATCAGGAAAATGCATATCAAAACTACAATGAGATATCACCTCATACCTGTTAGGATGGTTAATAGTAAAAACAGAAGGGATACCAACATTAATGAGGCTTTGGATAAAAGGAAACTGCTGTGTATTGTTTCTGGGAATTTCAATTGATACACCCATTATTGCAAACAGTAAGAAGGTTTCTAAAATATTTTAAAAAATAGAACTATGTATGATCCAGAAACCTCACTCTGGGGTAAATACCTAAAGGAAAGGTATTTATGTATCTACACTCTGATGTTCATTGCAACATTATTTACAGGAGCCAAGATATGAAAACAACCCATCTTTTGACAGATGAGTTTATAAAGAAAATGTGTATTTATATAGACAGGAATATATATATATATATATATATATATATATATATATATATATATAATGGAATATTACTCATCTATGAGAAGGATAGAAATATCGCCATTTGTGACAACATGGATGAACTGGAGGACATTATGTTAAGTGAAGTTAGACACAAAAAGTATAGTATCACTTGTATGTGGAATAAAAAAAAATGATTTCATAGAAAATGTAAGTAAATTGGTTGGTGCCAAGGGGTGAGAGTTGCACAAGGTAAATGTAGGTTAAATGATACACTTTCTGTCATAAAAGTTCTGGGGATCTAGTGCACAGTATGGTGACTGTAGTTTATGCTAAGAGTGAATCTTAGGTGTCCTTATCACATACATTAAGAGTTAACTATTTGAGATGATATATGCATTAACTATCTTGATCTTCATAATCATATATACCTCAAATCATCACACTGTAAATTTATAAATTTAAATATGTACAATTTGTCAATTATTCTTCAATAAATTTGGAATGAATGAGTGAATGAATGACTACATACTTAGATGAACACACATACATACTATTTGGTCCCAAAACACATTCTGTTATATCTGTTTATTTTAAAATTTGAATATAAATAACTTACATATTTCAAATAAAGAGACTGTACAAATTTCAAATGTAGAGTTAAAATATCTGGCTTCTAGTCTCATTTTTGACAGTATACCCATATTATGAAAGAGAAGAGGGAGAGAGAAGAGAGAAGAGAAGAGAAGAGAAGAGAAGAGAAGAGGAGAGGAGAGGAGAGGAGAGGAGAGGAGAGGAGAGGAGAGGAGAGGAGAGGAGAGGAGAGGAGAGGAGAGGAGAGGAGAGGAGAGGAGAGGAGAGGAGAGGAGAGAGAGAGAGAGAGAGAGAGAGAGAGAGAGAGAGAGAGAGGAAGGTCTATTCTCTTATGGTCATATTTTTTAAATATCATATTTCTTACTTCTTGCCTTCTTGCTCTTTTACAGTATACTAATGGCGTGGTGCATGAAATCTGTGCACTTGTGTGTGTGTGTGTGGTGGGGGGGGAATCTCCCAGCCTGGCTTGTACCCTCTCATAGTGAGGAAGCCCTGTTTTCCATCTGGGGCAGGAGCCAGGGAAAACCTACGGACCCCAGGCTGGGCCATGGCAGAGGCCTTTGGACCCTCAGAGGCATGTCTGCAGTGGAGGCCTCCCTCTGCGCATGTCTGCCTAACTCCTGGCACAAGTGTGTGGAGACAGGGGCTTCCTTCTGCGTGTGCCTGCCTAAGTCCCAGAATAGACACGTGGAGATGGAGGCCTCTGCCACTTCCTGGCCACTGGGCAAGGATTGCGGCAGAGGCCTCCTTCTATGCATGTCCACCTAACCCCCACGGCAGCCCTGCCTTGTCCCCAGATGCTGCGAGGCCCCGCCCATCCATGCCTGCTGTGAATGCCACCTGCTTAGTGGTTATGACATTATGGTGTCCCAGACAATTTGCATATTCTTTTATTATTATTATATAGAATTGAATTTAAATCCTGATTCTGCACCTTATTACTTTTAAAAAAGTTACTTAACTAGTCTATTCTTAATTATTAACTTGTTGAATAGGAATAATAATAATGAGGGTTATATAATATAGTGTTATTTTAAGGATTAATTGAGTTAATATATGCCAAGCACTTACCTGTGTAAGCATACTGCACCAAGGAATTAAGAGCAATAGGATCAATTCCTTCCATCTTGACCTCTTGTTGTTTGGCTTCAAGCAAATCATTAGTAAACATTGCAGCAAAATAATCAGACATGGCACTGAGAACCAACCTGGAAATAAGAAGTTTTCATAGTAAAACTAGTGAAATTAGAAAGGCAAATAGTAACTTGATATTCTTTTAAAGGATTTGTGATGTTTTTCTTAATCAATTTTTCAAGTTTGTATCTTCTAAATATACCATAGGAAATTGAATAATATACAGTAAATCTTTTGGAAAAAAATGTATCTTTATTGTAAAGGCATTGTAGATGTACCCCTTTTCCCAAGTTGACCCCCTCCACCTAGCACCTGCATCCCAGGCCTTCAATACACTATTGTCTGTATCTATGAGCTATGCATAAATGCATATTAAGTTCCCCAGTTAATCTCTCCCTACCCACACCCACCTATACCTTCCCTCTGAAATTCATCAATCTGTTCCATGTTCTGTCTTTGGATCTATTTTTTTCATCAGTTAAGTTTGTGCATTACATTCTACATATGAGTGAGATCATGTGACACTTGTCTTTCTCTGGCTGGTTTATTTCACTTAGCATAATATTCTCCAGATCCCTTCATGCTGTCTCAAAGGGTGAGGGATCCTTCTTTGGACAGCTGCATGTTATTTCATGCTGTACATGTACCACAGAATTTTTATCCACTCATATACTGATGGACACTTGGGCTGTTTCCAAATCTTAGCTATTGTAAATTGTGCTGTTATGAACATAGGAGTGCATATATTATTTCTCATTGGTGTTTTGTGTTTCTTAGGATATATTCCTAGAAGTGGGATTACTAGGTCAAATATTAGTTTCTTTTTTAACTTTTTTAAAAAAAATTATTTCAGAGAGGATGGGAGAGGGAGATAGAAACATCAATGATGAGAGAGAATCATTGATCAGCTGTCTCCTGCATGCCCCCTATTGGGGATCAAGCCTATAATGGGGGCATGTGCCCTTGACTGGAATCAATCTTGGGACACATCACTTCACTCTATCCACTGAGCCAAATCAGCTAGCCCCCCCCCCTTTTTTTTAACTTTTTGATGAAACTCCATACTGTTTTCCATAGTTGCTACACCAGTCTCAATCCCAAAAGCAACCCTCTCATTCAATATAGTACTGGAAGTCTTAGTCATAGTGATCAGACAAGAAAAAAAACTAAAAAGCATCCAAATTTGAAAGGTGGAAGTAAAGCTGTCATTATTGGCAGATGAGATGATATTGTACATTGAAAATCCTAAAGAGTCCACCAAAAAACTAAGTTTAATAAATGAGTTTGGCAATGTAGGCAGATAAGATGCAAAATTAGCAGAATACAATATTAATACCCACAAATTTGTCATTTTTATTCACCAATAATGAATTCTCAGAAAGAGAAACTACAAAAAGCAATCCCATTTACCATTGCAACAAAAATTAAAACATTTAGGAATAAAATAAACCAAGGAGATAAAAGATCTGTACTTGGAAATCTATAAGGCAGTTCAAAAAGACATTAAGGAATATATAAACCAGTGGTCATGGATTGCTAGAATCAACATCATAAAAAATTTCATACTACACAAGCAATCTATAGGTTCAGTGCAATCCCCATTAAAATACCAATGTCATATTTTACACATCTAGAACATACACTCCAAAAATCTATATGGAACCCAAAAAGATGCTAAATAGTCTCAGTAATCCTGAGAAAGAACATAGTTGGAGGAATGACAATACCAGATATAAATTTATACTACAGTGCCACTGCAATCAAAACAGCCTGATACTGGCACAGGAACAGGCAGGTAGATCAATGGAATAGAACAAAGACTCCATAAATCAACCCAAACCATTATGCTTAATTAATATTTGACAAAGGAGGCAAGGACATACAATGGAGTAAAGATAGTCTATTCAATAAATGGTGTTGAGGAAATTGGAGCGATACATGGAAAAAAATGAAACTAAGCCACCAATTTACACAACGCATATGAATAAATTCAAAATTGATAAAATGACTTAAATGTAATTCATGAAACCAAAAAATCTTAGAAGAAACCATAGGCAGCAAAATTTCAAACATCTCTTATAGTAATATGTTTGCTGATACATCTCTTAGGGCAAGAGAAACTAAGGAGAAAATAAACAAATGGGAATAAATCAAAATAAAAAGCTTCTGCACAGTAAAGGAACAACCAACAAAATAAAAAGTGAGTCCCCTGTATAGGACAACATGTTTTTCAACAATATATCTGATAAGGGGTTAATTTCCAAAACACTGAAGGAACTCAAGCGTTCCAATTTATAATCAATGGACTGATTATTTTTCATTCATGCTTGTTCATTCATACTCTAATCACCAAACATTCTGTCTGCATAAGGATACTTACCTATGAGCTGGGATTCGGAGGTGTCCAACAATGAGGAACACATCACAGAGTTGTTTCTCTTTCAGGTAGTTCTGCATTTTATGGAGAGTTTTCTCTGCATGATTTACAGCATGGAACTCCTCCTCAGGTATACTGAGATTCATTTCTTCAGGATGTTCAGTATGTAATCTGAAAGGGGGATAAGAGTAAGAATATGGTTTATTCTCCTAGTGAGTGTGCTAATATACAGTGGAAATTTAGGCACATCAACTTTTAAAAGAAATGTTTCGAAGTACAGTAAACTTTTCACTCTGGATATTTTACTATGATTGTTGCCTAATCTTCCATTAAAGTAAAGTGTGATGATTAGTGATCAGAAACTGAACCATACTATGTATGGTGCAGCTGCAGGGCTAGTATTAATTGTCATATACACAAACATGAACTTCAAAATGCTATCATATATCTTTAATCTTTCTTGGTATTACAATAATGACATTAGGCATGATATTGTAGGCAGTATTCACAATTATGTTTCAGATTTGTTTATGGCTTGAAGCTTCTTCATGGTGTACTCATTAAACTTTATAAGTATTTTTGAATAATCTTAAGTTTTAGAGTTGCATAACATTCTTTATAATATATCAAACCCATCAAGAAAATATATCAAACCCATCAAGAAAATATTTCCATCTTTCATATTTGTTTACCAGCTTAATTGATATATAATTAATATAAAAAGTGTGTAAGTTTATTTTACTTTTTGTATACCCTTTTTTAATATTCATGTGAGGACATGCTTAGAAAGAGGCAGGGAGAGAAGAAAGAGAGAGAGAGAGAGAGAAAGAGATGGAGAGTGAAAGAGAGGTGGGGAGAGAGAGAGAGAGAGAGAGAGACAGAGACAGACAGAGACAACAGAGTCAGAGACTGATGTGACAAAAATATTGATTGGTTGTCTTCTATAGATGCCCCAACTAGGAACGAATCCAAAAGTCAGGTATGTGCCCTGACCAGAAATCATCGAACCAGCATCTTTTTGGTGCACAAGATTCCAGTCAGCCAACTCAGCCACTCTATCTGGGCAACATTGTGTAAGTTTAAGGTATACAATATGACAATATATGCCTAGATAGTGTGAAATGATTACCACAATGAGATTAAAATATCCACAATCTTGCATGATTACTATTTTGTGCACATATAGTAAGAACATTTAAATTCCACTCTAATAGCAATTTTCAAGTATATAATACAGTACTGTTAACTAGTTACAATTCTGTGCATTGGATTCCCCCAAGTTAAGTTATTCATCTTATAACTGGAACTTTGTGCCCTTTGACTCTTTAGAACAATATGACAACTGTTGATTTTATAACACTGAACTATGTTGATGTGTCTTTTCAACATCACAAAATGGCAGATTTAAATACTAATGCAAGCACATAGAAATTTACAATCAGCGGAATCTGAAAAATTTGATGGTTGGGTGAGCATGCTTACATACTTTGCTTGTCACCTTTTTTTCTTCCATGCATCACTTTCCAACCACCAGATAGGATTAGTTTTACGTTCCTTTTACCAACAACTTGGACTTTGTTGTTAGTTGTTTTTTGTTGTTGTTGTTGTTGTTTTGTTTTGTTTTATGTTTGTTTGTTTTTTTAAGACAATTGGTCCAGGGTGGTGTTATCCTTTTTGTCTTTTTAATTCAAATAAAATATTCAGCATTGAATCTTTTTAACCTTTAAAAAATCTGAGATATTCAGCCAAAATATTGTTTGGCTAATAAGGATAGGATGATATATGTTTATTTTCTATGCCTCTCTTTTTGTGCTATCTATCCCTTATTGTTCTCCAAATGCCCTATGGCTTCACATTGCTCCATGGTGACCCAAGATTCCCTACTTTGACCTTCTTCATCAAATAAGAAGGGACCTGGACTTTCCTATGAACTAAAATTTGTCCTGCTCTGTCTCTTTCTCATCATAATACTCAGCCATCAAATGGTTCCATGGATCTGGAAGTACACTGGAGAGGCTAAAACTTACAACAGCATGAATTAGTTACCTCTTCCAAGAAGTTCAGTATATTATCAAATAATAACTAAATCCAAAAGTTTGTACCTCTAATGGTGATAGATTTGTCAGGCACACCAGAAAGCTAGGAGTATGATTTTCCCTTTTATAGCCAAATAACTTAAATCAACAAAGGAGAAGTGTTGGTAAGATGTGGAGAAAAAGGAACCCTAGTGCACTGGTGGTGAGAATGCAGACTGGTGCAGCCACTGTGGAGAAGAGTACGGAGTTTCCTCAAAACACTAAAAAACTATCATTTGACCCAGTGATCCCACTTCTAGGAATATATCCCAAGAAAACAAAAACACCAATCAGAAAGGATATATGCATCCCTATGTTCATAGCAGCACGATTTACAATAGCTAAGATTTGGAAGCAGCCTAAGTACCCATCAGCAGATGAGTGGATTAGAAAACTGGTACATCTACAAGATGAAATACTACACTGCAGTACAAAATCTTACTATCTGCAACATCATAGATGGACATAGAGAGCATTATGCTAAGCTAAATAAGCCAGTCAGAGAAAGAGAAATATCACATGTTCTCACTCATTTGTGGAATATAATGAACAACATAAACTGATGAACAAAAACATATCCAGAGACAGAGAAGCATTGATCAGTCTGTCAAATCTCAGAGGGAAGGTAGGGGAGGGTGGAGGTAAGGGGGAGAGATCAACCAAAAGACTTGAATGCATGCATATAAGCCTAACCGATGGGCACAGACACCAAAGAGGTGAGGGCATGAGTGGGGAGTAGGGGGCAATGGGAGGATAAAGACACATAAACAATACCTTAATCAGTAAAGAAGAAAAAATAAAAGTCCAAAAGACTTCAAAAAAATATAAAACAAAAAATATGAAGCAAAATAACTTAAAATAAAAATGAGTCCCATTGAAGGCTCTGCTGCTAGTTGACTATGTGATTTTGTACAAGTCATTTATTTTCTATGAGCATAGGTTTTCCTTTCTTAAAACCTGACTGGATTCTAGAACTTACAGACCAAGTGCTCATCAGTAGATGAGTGTTTAAAAAGCTGTGGTACATTTATACAATGGAATACTATGCAGCTGTCCAAAAGAAGGATCTCTTTGAGACAGTATGGAGAGACCTGGAGAGCATTATGCTAAGTGAAATAAGCCAGTCAAGGAAAGATAAGTATCATATGATTTCACTCATATGTGAAATCTAATGAACAAAACAAACTGCTGAACAAAATAGATCTAGAGACATAGTAGTGGAAGCATGGAACAGACTGATGAATCTCAAAGAGAAGGGGGAAGTGGGGTGGGAAGAGATTAAGCAAAGAACTTGTATTTATGCATATATGCATAGCCTATACACACAAACAATAGTGCAGTTCTCCGAAGGCTTATGGGGGATGCAGGTCTGGGCTGGAGAGAGTCAATGAGGAAAAAAGAAGACACCTGCAATATTTCAACAATAAAGATAAATTTAAAAAAGAATAAACACAAAGTGGATTACATTCTTAAATGTAAGACCCAAAACCATATACACATAGAAGAAATCATAGGCAGTAAACTCTCTGAGATCACTTTTAGTAATTTTTTTGACAAATATCCTTGAGCAAAGGAAACGAAAGAATAAATAAACAAATGGGACATCAAACTAAAAATTTCTTGCACAGCAAAGAAAAACATCAAGAAAATGTAAAGAGCATACTTAATGGGAGAACGTATTTGCCAATGAAATATCTGATAATGGGTTAATATCCAAAATTTATAAAGAGCTCATACAACTCAATACCAAACAAACAAACCCTAAAATCCAACTTAAAAATTGAGTAGACGCTTTCCCAAAGAGGACATACAGATGGCTAAAAGATAAATAGAAAATGCTCAATGTCAATAATCATCAGAGAAGTGCAAACTAAAACCACAATTAAATATCACTTCACACCTGTCAGAATGGCTACTATCAATAAATCAACAAACATCATGTAACAGAGGATGTGGAGAAAAGTAAACCCACCTGCACTGTTGGTAGGATTAAAAATTGGTCCAGCTACTATGGAAAACAGTAGGGAGGTTATGAGAAAAATTAATTATAGAACCACCTTATGACCCAGGAATTCCACTCTGGGTATATATCCAAATAAATCCAAAAAGAGTGTGAGGTTTTTTTTTTATTATTTTGTTTGTTTTTCGTTTTTCCCCTTGGAGGGAGTCATTTTTTAAAATTTTATTTTATTGTTTAAAGTATTACAAATAGTAGTACCCATGTCTCCTTTTTTTCCCCCATTGACTTTCCCACGGCCTCTCCTACCCCCCTGGCACATGCCCACCCTGCCCCAGTGTCTTGAATCCATTGATTATGCTTATATACATGCACACAAGTCCTTCATTGATCTCTTACCCTCTCCTCCAACCCGCCCCAGCCTTCACACTGTAGTTTGACAGTCTGTTTGATGCTGCTCTGCCTCTGTATCCATTTTTATTCATCAGTTTATGTTGTTCATTATATTCCATAAATGAGTGAGATCATGTGCTATTTTTCTTTCACTGGCTGGCTTATTTCACTTAGCATAATGTTCTCCAGTTACATCCATGCTGTTGCAAATGGTAAGAATTCCTTCTTTTTTATAGCAGTGTAGTATTCCATTGTGTACATGTACCACAGTTTCCTAATCCACTCATCTGCTGATGGGCACTTAGGCTGTTTCCAAATCATAGCTATTATAAATTGTGCTGCTGTGAACAGAGGAATGCAAATATCTGTTCTAATTGGGCAAAGGAACCCTAAATAGACACTTTTCAAAAGAGGATATTCAGAAAGCCAAAAGACATATGAAAACATGCTGAAAGTCACTAATCATCTGAGAGATGCAAATCAAAACAACTAATGAGGTACTATTTCACACCTGTCAGAATGATTATCATCAACAAAACAACAAATGACAGGGTTGGTGAGGATGTGGAGAAAAAGGAACCCTCCTGCACTGCTGGTGGGAATGTAGACTGGTGCAGCCACTGTGGAGAACAGTATGGTGTTTCCTCAAAAAAAAAAAATTAAAAATGGAATTGCCATTTGACCCAGTAATACCACTTCTTGGAATATATCCCAAGAAAACAGAAGTATGAGTATTATATTAAAAA